TTTTTGCCCATTCTTTACAGTTCCATGCCTGGAGGTACTTGGGCACCAGTCTCAATCTATTCAAATAAAATCAATTCAAAGTATTCCAAGTTCATCTATGCATTAATCAGTCTGTAAGGCATTTTTCCCTACAATATAATCAATGTCTTCTGCTATTTCATGCATTCTACGAAGTACAGTGGTTTCTGAAGAAAACATACTGATGTAAATGCAGCGATGGGTGTTTTAACAGGGTACCAGGTGTTATAACCTTTTCTATAGTCTTGTACAATTTCCTAGTTTTTGCAATGAATAATACTAATTTAAATTATATGAAGTTTCAAAGGCAACTTTAAGGTCTATGTAAAAATATTAAGCTCATTTACACTTTTACCGATACCCTTAATCTTTCTTCATTAAAAAAATTAATGTTATTTTTGGAGTCTGAATGTTTTATCAATAAATTACACTGTGGGAGCATTTTTTTTGCATCATCATTTGACAATCTTACAAGCAATGTCACTAAATAAAGATTATTACCAGTCCCACCACTCCACACTACAAAATATAGGACATTCAGAATATCTCAATATTTCAAATGCCACATTTCACCACTTACTTGTAAGACAGACAAAAACAAGAAGTCATTAGTGCCTTGATTAAAGAAAGCCTTGCCAACATGAGTGTTTTGAAAGGTCCTTTAGTTTCATAGCCCAGGTTCTAGGGCAATGAAGTACAGTAAGATTTAGAATGGATGAGAGATAGACCTTTGTTTTGTAAAGCAGAAGCGTACTTGCAAAAGGGGAAGATGCAATAACAAAGGTGCGGGGCTTCAAGACAGTAGATTTTTTCCAGGGAAGAGTATGTTTTACTTTTAGAAGTAGGTTCACCTTGGTGTAAAGACTTCTGACCTACACTGATCCAACAGTTTCCTAACTGGTCCTCCTACTTCTACTTTTGCTTCCCTACAGCGAATTCTCCACTGACCATTTAAAGATATAAATCAGATCATGTCACTCCTCTGCTTACAACTCTCCCACACTCAGAATAAAACCCAGACGTTTCACCGTGGCCCAGTTGGCTAAGAATTGGCTCCTACTTATCTCCCTCAACCCTTCTGCCCACCCCTCAACCCTCACCATCCCTCCATCTCACATTTTATCTTTCACTTCAACTTTGCTCACTCTATTCTAACCAGCAAATTCATTCCCAACTATGGGTCTTTGCAATAACTGTTTCTTCTGCCTAGAATGCTCATTTCATCCAGGTCTCTTCTCAAACTTTAGCTCTTTAAATCACCATTATAACATTATACCCTACCCCACATTTCCCACTGACCCCTTTCTTGGTTTTCTGCACATTCAAAGCAATCTGAAATTATATTTTTTCTTCACCTCCCCTCCGCAGAAAGAATGTAAGCTTCATGAAATGAAATCACTCTCTTGAAGAGATATCTGCACCCTCATGTGCACTGCAACATTATTCACAACAGCCAACACATGAAAACAACCTAAGTGGTGTCTATCCACAGATGAATGAGTAAAGAAAATGTGATATACATATATATAATATATAATATTATTGGACAAATTGGAATAATATTATAATATATTATAATATAATATTATATATTGAATATATTACATATTAATACAATATTATATATTATAAATATTATATTATATATATATAATGGAATATTATTCAGTCACAAAAAAAGAAGAGGATCTTATTTGCAACAACACAGATGAACCTGGAGGGCATTATGCTAAGTTAAATAAGTCAGAGAACGAAAAATACTGCATGATCTCACTTATACGTGGAGTCTAAAAAAGCCAAACTCATAGAAACAGAGAGTAAATTGGTAATTGCCAGGGGCTGGGAATGGGGGAAATGGGGTACAAACTTCCAGTTATTAAAATAAATAAGCTCTGAGGATCTAATGTACAGCATGGTGACTACAGTTAACAATACTGTATTGTATACTTGAAAGTAGCTAAGACAGTTGATCTTAAATGTCCTCAGCACACACGGGTACACACACAAAATGGTAATTACGTGAGGTGATGGATGTATTAACCAACCTTGTTTTGGTAATCATTTCATAAAACGTACATATGTCAAATCATCACATTGTATACTTTGAAACTTATAATACAATGTTATACGTCAATTATATCTTAATAAAGCTGGGAAAAAAAGAATGTAAGTTTCATGAGGACAGGGACTCTGTCTTGCTGCTGTACTCTTATTGCCTAGAATACTGCTACATCAATGAAACAACTATTTTTCCATATGTTTGCAAGGCCTTATATACAAGGATCTTCATTTCTACCTTGTTTGTAGTACTGAAAAATAGGGACAATATAAAAATCATAGATATACTTTCAATGGAATGTGATACAGATATGAAAAGAAGTGATATAACCTCAATGTGCTGAAACAAAAAGAGGTCCCCAAGACATATTTACTCCATAGAATCTATGATGCCATCAGATGTAAGATTCACATTTAAATTATTGATATTATACCAAAAAAGGAACTGCCCAAGATGTGAATGTAAAAGGAAATGCCTGTATATAGCTGAATAATAGGTAAACACAAATGAACCTACAATACAGAAAGATACAACAAGGAAACTTGCATAGCTCAATCCTGAAAAATGAATAGAACAAAGAAAAAAAAATCCCTGAAAATTTAAACCACAAGTCAGTTAATGTGGATTTGCAGTCTGACTCATACTATTAGTGTGGTCCAAAAACTCTCAGGAAGAGAATTTAAAGTAGTATTAGGTTGGTAGTAAGCCCAAGTGACCGACAGAAGCAAACATCTCTGGAGGAAATAGATGTCAATTCAGGACTACAATGATTGTAAGTTATTATCAACCATAAAACATATCTCAATTTCAGTCATGTTAAAATGTGAGTATAATAGAATTAATAAAATGCAACATCATCAAGTGAAAACTAGAAGGTGCAGAATGCTCCCATTATGTGGGGAGAAAATGTGTGTGTGTGTGTGTGTGTGTGTGTGTACTTTTTAATGATTACAAAATGAATGAAAAGATTTGCAGTGGTTCTTTTAGTCTTGGCTAGGAGGAACTTTTACATTTTTATGCTACTTTAATTTTGTACCATATGTGTTTATTACTTTTTTCCCTTAAAATAAAACTTTAAGAAATCAGAAATAAAATATACCTTTCCATGATTTTTTAACCATACTGTAATTCCCTTTACAGGCTCACCTCATCCCCAAACCATAATCTTTAAGAATGGAAATAATTAAAAAGTGAGTAAGTTTTTCCTTATGTTTGGTTTCAAATTTCACAGGATGAATCTCACCATTCTTTAAGGGAAACAACAATATGAAGAAAATAATCCAAATGTATTTATTTAGCACCCATACATCCATGGTTAAGTACCAAAGTCATTAGAACAATGAGTTTTCAGATTTAAAACAATGCCTCTAAGATTTCACAATCTAAAGCTGAAAATGAATGCCCACACAAACTAATAAACTATTGTAGACAAACATATATATGATTGTAGTCCTCCAGAACACTTCCCCCACAAGAATGTGCCCAGAGTCTTCATAAATTTTGTTCAGTTATTTATATCCACAGTCCCTAAAACAGTATCAGGTTGGTAGTGGGTTCAAGTGACTGCGAAAAGCAAACATAGAGGGCACTCAATAGCATTTTTGAAGAAATGCTGAATTGTATAAATATTGAATGTACATTTATATAAGCATTTCTTCTTTTTTTTCCGGACGCGCAGGCTCAGCGGCCATGGCTCACGGGCCCAGCCACTCTGCGGCATGTGGGATCTTCCCGGACTGGGGCACGAACCTGCGTCCCTTGCATCGGCAGGCGGACTCTCAACCACTGTGCCACCAGGGAAGCCCAAGCATTTCTTCTTAAATAATCAAGGGCCCAAGTGTTTTAAAGTAGTGGTAGGGTAAATGGGGTTTCACATATTCATTCAACAAATATTGATTGAATTTCTACTACGTGCCAGACTAAATGCTATGGACACAAAAATTAATACGACATGCTCTTGACCTTGAACAGCACATAATGATAAATCATTACAATAAATGATAGGCATTATAATTGCGGTACGGACAAATTCACGTGCTATGAGAACACAGGGAGTATAATTGATTCCATAACAGAAAATGGCGGGGAAATTAACAGAGTAGTGACTAATCAGATATGCCTTAATGATGGCATTCCAAACCTAAATCCCTATTGGACCAGGTAGGTAAATAATGTAAGGGATTTGGTCATAGTCTGGATGACAGCAAACTGAAGAATTTATGCATTTCTCAAAGGGGTAGCTGCTACTTAGTCTAGCCAACTGTTCCCTTATAGGACTGTAGGTCCGATGTTATCAGGTTTCCAATTTTTCAAGAATAGGTGGAAATCACATTTTTGCATGAAACTACTTTGGCAACTGATTTAAAAAGACCTTTTAGATCAAATGAACTATGTCTATGTTTGCCAGTCAAGAGATAATAATCTCTGCTTTCAGGTATAAATCTACTAAGAAGAGAGAAAAAGTTATTTGAGACACCCCTTAATGAACTCAAATTTTTACAAAGCACAGAAAAATTCAGTACGTGTTACCATGAAACCCATTTAAAGACTTATTATCCTAGGGTTCGCTTTTAAGTCACAGAAGGTTTTAGAACTAAATTTTTATGTGTTTATCTGAAATGAAGAAAAGCGTTCCTAATCCAAAATTTTCTAGAGCGCAAGTAATAAAAACACCTCAAATCTAGACACAAGTAAAAATGAAAAGGTATTTTAAAAACTCTTTGTGAAATTAGAACTATCTTTTTATGTCAAATTTGAAATACGTCCTGTTATTGTAAGGGATTATTCCATGATTTAAATAGCATTAATGTCTAAAGACTAAGCTTAGTAAACTCTATAAACTATAATAAAACTACTGGAAAACGTTTAAAAATTGTACAATGTCAGTGCTTTAAAACTATTTTGAGAAATAATTTCCACCTACCTTTTTTGCTTTGGGACCCTAAAAGTTGGAAAAACAAAAGAATTGATAAATTTAAAAAATAAGTCAGACATTTAAACAAAACTGTCCTGATTACCTAGCATATTAAAATTAGGAGAAGCTAGGTAAAGACTATAAGGGAACTCTCTGTACCCTCTATGCAACTTTTCTGTAAATCTAAAATCATCTCAAAATAAAAAAGTTTTTTTAGAAGAGAATTCAGACAAAACTACAAGCAAGTCTAGGAAAGACTAAGATAGTTCACCCACTGAAGCATCTCTTGTAAGTAGATTTTACACTCATTCTTACGACGATCAATGATCCATGTTTAATGAAATGCCCAATCACAAAACAGAGCACCAGTCGAGAAGGCACTAGTTTAAAGGATTCTAAAGAAGAAGAAATCACTGACATTAGTGTTGGTACTAATGTCAAGCTTGAAAGTGTGGGAGTGATCTCATATTATAAAGAAACAATCTTTCTGTAAAGTTAGATTGCTGATTTTATAGAAAGAGAACCCGTCATTTAAAACAGGCAAAATTATGACAAAATGATTCTATTCAGCAATGTGTCCTAAAGCAGATCTATGCTTTTTTGGATTTTGGAAAGTACAGTATTTCAATCAATATTTACAAGTACTTTTTAGTAACAGTACTTGTAATCTCCTGATTTGGCCCATGTGTTCATTAGATTTCTGGTAAGGAATTTGTAGGGGACCACGTGACTATAAGATCACACACTTTCCACATTTGACGACTTGTACAGGAGAAGTTAGTGGTTCAAGTCATAAGGTTATCACTGTATAAAATATAAATGTTAAAACTGACACAAAGCAGTAGCTTATATCTTCCTGAAAAGTGCATATATTTCACTAATTTGTTCAGCAGGTATTTATTAATGATTTACACACAAAGCACTCTGAGATGCTGGAGATGATATGAATAATAATGGAGACCTGGCTCTCATAACTTTTATAAATGTGTTTTATTTTTATCATATTTGCTATCAATTAATAGTTAACATGCTTCCATCTTGAAATAACTACCATACAGCAGAATAGCTAAACAGCATTGGCCCTGTTCCCAAGTAGCCACATTTTAAAGGTGGGGGAATTGTCATCTCTCACCAGTGCTTTTAATGTGACGCAGGTTGAGTTTACGTACATATCCTCACCCATCCTGCAAATCATAGGAGCATCATGTAGTAGAGAAGTTCTCAAAGTTACGAGGGCATAAGAATCACCTAGGATGCTTGTTAAAATGCATATTCCTGGGCTAAAAGTGTACACACTCACTTCTCTCTCCCCATTGTAATTCAGTTCATGTTATTGGTTGAATTGTGCCCCCTCAAAATTCATACATTAAAGTCCTATCTCCCAGTATCTCTGAATTTTACCTTATTTGGAAAGAGGGTCCTTGCTGATGTAGTTAAATTGAGATGAGGTCATACTGGAATAGGGTGGATCTCTGATCCAACATGACTGGCGTCCTTGTTAAAAAAGGGGAAATTTGGACACAGACACACACACAGGGAGAACGCCAGTGAAGAATGAGGTAATGCTGCCACAAGCCAAGAAGTACCAGAAGCTGGCACTTGCAGGGGGAGCATAACCCTGACAACACCTTGAACTTGGACTTCCAGCCTCTAGAACTGTGAAACCGTTAAGTCTCTATTTTTTAAGCCAGTTAGCTTGTGGTATGTTGTTATTTGGCAGCCTTAGGGAACTAATAATGTAGATCTGGAGTCCAGTCTGTTCCTGGAATTTGCATTTTAACTGGTATTCCAGGTTTATTAGAGGCAAATTTTCCAGAAACCACATTCTGAGAAAGATTCCTAGAGGGATCTAAGAACAAGAAACTTATGTACCGATTGGAAAATAATAAATAGGTGCTTATTGTTCCCTTAAGTTATCAGCAGTTTTCAGTCCACTTAAAATCCATTTACTTTCTATTCTCCCTGACATGAATGCTCTCCATGCCCTATTTCTTCTCATCACTTCTGGTAAATTCATAATCATACTTTAAAACACAGCTTGAAAAGCACTGCTCTTCCCTTCCTGTTCCCGTCCCCTCTCCTGCCCCAATTTCAACATTTCCAACTTTGCGTAACTCCATTGTAGTCACTTCAATTATTACAGTTATAAACCTGTATTGTAATTAATTTGCTAAGTCTGTCTTCCATACCAGGGAGAGATGGTAATTTTCACCTTTGTGTCCTTGGCTTCAGCCTAGTGCCAAGCACAAAGAACATGCTCCATATTTTCCCTTAATGAACGAATTAAATAATTAACTAATTACATTTTCCACTTCCTCTGGTTTTAATCATAGAAGAAGATGGAAATCACGTTTAAGAAAATGGGAAATGAGACCATCTTACAGCTACATGTTGGCCTGTGTTCTTGGAGAAGACATGACAGCTGAGGAGTGCAGAAAAACAAAACAAGAAGCTTTATCATACTTAATAAACACAGGACAGGTTGCATACCCTGAATTACGAAACAATCCAAATTTCCACAAAAGACCACACAAAATAACTTGTGAAAGCAGAGTAAATTGATAAAGCTTTTCATTAATTGATAAGGAGGCAAAAAAACACATTTCCGCCAAGCTGCAATAAAAAAGCAATTTCATGGGAATGTCTATCACTATTGGAAGTTACTAAATTGAGACCGATATTTATATTTAGCAAGAGGTCGAGATTTTAAGACATCATCTGACCGCACTGATCATTCCCCGTTTGCAGAAACTGGTTTTTACTCCCACCTGTCCGCCGGAGCCTGGACAGAAGGCCACAGATCTGGGGAAGGTCCTTCCCGCCCCCCCCCCACCCCAAGGGTATGGGCTCTTTCCTAAACCGACTCGCTCCCCTCTGATAAAATATGACAGGCTCTTGTTACATCATTTAACACGGTGCAGAATCAATGCTCGCCCCTTACCCAGCTCCCCCACTTTCCCTGCTCACCATGCTGAGACAGACACTACCTCCGTAGTCGGCCAAGTCGGAGCTCAGGGTTGCGAGCACAAACGCTCCCGGGTTGTGAGGACAAACGCTCGCGGGTTGTCAGGACGACAAGCCCCTCCCACTGGCGCCAAGGTGGGAGCGGAGATCCGAGCGTCTCGGTCCGCGCAGTCGCACTGGGGTTCTTCCGGACGACGCCCCGCCCCCTTCCCAGACAGGTTGCCCCACCCACCTCCGCCGCCCGCCTCGGTCGACTGCCGCAGGAGTCGGAGAGTGAGGCTTTTACGGCTGCCGCGTGCCGGAAAGTGCGTGAGTGCCGGGCCCGAGCGTTTTTTTCTGTTTTCCGAATCCTGAGGTCTGGAGGCGGTGAAGTATGCCCTGGGCGAGGACCAGCGGGTGTGGGAAAGGGTTTCTGCGCGTTTTCCGACGTTGACAGTCCCTCTCCCTATTTCCCTAGGGTAGCTGGGACGAATCTTTCTGTGCGGTTTCGAGAAGGAAGGGGCCGCCGGCTACGCGACTGGGTCGAGTGACTGATACCGGCTCGGCTGCCTGGGCCGCCACCGCTTAGACCAGCGTGGGGCGGGGCTCGATTGGCAGTTTAGAGAAAGAGGTAAATAAATTGGCTCCCAGAGGGTTGTTTATTTCGAAATTAATAACCTTCGGATTCTTCTCCCTGCACCTGGTTCTGTTTACTTCCTGGGCACGCAAGGTATATGCCGTTTTTCCTTAGAGGCGCTCTAAACAAGAACTGGAAATGATTTGAAGCAGTTCCTGGGTAAAGTATTCCTTACAGGTGGCGGTCTCTGAGACCCAGCAAGACTCGCTAAACTATGTGCCCAGGGTCAAGGTCACAGATTAACTGTACCAACCGGTAGCACAACCCTTCGATGTCAGCCTCCCCGCATGAAACTCTGGCAATTTAGACCAACAGGAAAACTAGAAGAAATTAAGAGATTGAGAAATTAAGGTCCTTCCAAAGCCTGTCTGAATTCTCTGTGATTTTACATCTAAACCCTGTTTTAGCCTGACAAGACATGAAATGCTTGCAAATTATTGCCACCATTTCTCATCTGAATTCTCATTTTATAATGCGCTGTCCCTTGCACTTTCACTGACTAAAGGTATTATTAGTAAATCAGTATTACTGACTGAGCTGGTCTTTGTGGGTTAAAGTGTTATTCTCCCCACAGAAATCCAGACTGTGTCATAGCTATGACACCTTGCCTCCACATCGCTGGTAGCAAGATTAAAACGTCTTAACGTCGACTTCATATAGAGTTCTGAAGCTGTGTGGTGTGGAACTAAGCTTTTGTTTTAGTTTTTCAACCAAGCTACTAATATTTATGATACAAAAGCTCAGTCAGCTCTGATGCGGGTAAGGAGGTGTGATGGTAATCACAAATAACTTTAAAATGGTGGGCTTCTAGAGGAGAGACTTGCTCAAGTTCTCATTCCACCAGCTTCCCTCCTAGGGAGAAGGATTTGCTATGGATGTGTTAAAACAGGCTGGACTGTGTTCTAGGGGGGCCACTGTGCTGTGAGATTATACCAGTGAGCTTGTTTAGTTCTTCTCTACTACTTCTCTTACAAGCTGCGGAAGAAGGCCCATTTCCCGTTCTCTTTGTTACCTTCAGACAGGTGTAGTACCTCCCCCGTATGAACATACACAGCCATCTCCTTTCAACTCACTTTTATAATCTGGCTTCTAGGTAGGCCTAGACCAAGCAGTATACAAGCTTTTGGGGGCAAGCTCTCTTGCCACCTACCTCTTGGATTATGTATCCTTTGGTGCTGCAAGTGTATTGGGATAAATTTTTGTGTGAAGCTTTTTAGGCTTAACTACTTTGGGGAAATGTGCTTCATCTGTTTAAGTCAGAACTTCATGGAGAACAGTGACTAATAACAGCTCTAGACACCATAACCCCTAGTTAAATGACTTAACCCAGAACTGGAGTTAGTTACGTCTTACCTCCTTGGCCCACAAGTCATTGGGAAAGAGCTATCAGTGTGGATTGTATGCCCATCCCCATCCAGATTCTCAGGATGATGGGGGACTTCTCTCAGTCCCTAACTCGTTTGGCTCTCTACAAAGAACAGTAACCTCCATGACTTCATGCAGGGTTAAGGAACAGCCCCATGTCCCTGCTGCATTTAAATTGTTCACCAATTCTGAACCCAAGGAAACCTATTTCTCCCAAAGGCTAAAATAAACTGAAATGCCTGAAGGTCAGCATGCAATAATAACAAACTTCCTTAACTCATAAAGTAACATATCAAAGAATGGGACAAGCTTACCTTAGTCACAGCAGCTACTTTTTTGCTGGGCAGGTCCTTTATTATATATAATTTGTAAAGAGGGCAACAGCTAAAGAGGATGATTTAAGCCACATTTCTAAACAGTTTTTACAAATTACAAATTGTGAATTAAATAGAGCTATGCTCTTAGCCAGGAATTACACAGCTTATAATTTGCAATTTTAAATTACATCTAATGTAGATTTAATTCACAATTATTTTAAAAGCACAAGGTTCTTAAGAGTCATCATTCTTCAGTAAGATTAAAACACATGAAAAATGGCTCTCAGCAAAAAAAAAAAAAAAAAAGTTTTAAAAATGAAATTCGGTGTTGATGTACCGGTTAAATACACTCATCTAATTTCACTCCCTTCCAAAACCATTAAATCTTCAGTAAACCAATTTAAAAATAAAAGAAAAATAGAAGAGGAGATGACAACAGTAAAACTTTAGAAGCTGCAAAACAGATGAATGTGACCTAGCACACTAGAAAAGCCCAGTTTATACTGCATATTGCTCAAAAGGCACTGGAACAGGGCCACTGTAATTGGAAATGAAGAATGAAGTAAATCAGAGAGGATGAAGTGAAAGCTATTTGAAAACCACCACTAAGTGTCTGCACCCCTCACTCCCACAGAAGACTGGAGGTTTATTTCTGGACAAAATAATACTAGTCTCTGGAGTGGGATGTCCTCAGGCATACTAAGTACACCAAAACCACACTGGAAGCAGATTAGGTGATTTGGGTATACATAATGCTGAAAGCAAGGCTCTGGTTCCTCTTCTGCTTCTTAATGTTACATTAGCAAATGCTCAGAAGATTGGAAGACTTTTCTCTGGGGAATCTGACCAGCCGAGGAGAACCATCTAAGATACTAACATCAGAGGTTCCCCGATAAAGGGCCCACTCAGATCACCCTAAGTAAAGCCCAAAGTCCCTAAGCTGCAACCATGTATGCAGATCTTCTGAAGTTTTTTTTGTCCTTTCATTTGTAGGAGCAGATTGAAAAGGACTACCTTTTCTGGAGGAAAGCTCAGAAGTGATAACAGACAAAAGCAGAAAAATAGCAGTTTGGAGGAAAACAAGAAAGCTAATATTAATGAACTCAGAAAAATTGCTCTGCTACGTTGTATGCTTGTAATGTGCGCTAACTCATAAATTGTTAGTAAACAGGAGAAGTATACAAGTATTAACATGGAAATAATGTTGGCTCCTATGTGATTTTTTTTCCCTAAGAAAGAGGAGCCAGAGAAGCAGATTTATAAACTTCAACAAGAAAAGGTCTTCACTTAGTTGCTGTACTGGCAGCAGGAGCCTTTCAAGTATGTTTGTAAAACAATTTAAAAAGTGCTCACCCCCAGGGCTCCCTCCTCAGAGAGGTATACCCTGTTTTTTGCAACTGTCGACCTGGTTACAGTTGAATCACCTATCCTGACCACTGATTGGCAGCCTTGTGGTATAGGTAACTCTCTCCTTCCACATGTACCTGAATATCTCCCAGCCCTACTCTTAGCATTTTGCTAGCATATATATCTGCACTATTTTTTAAACAGTTTTACTAAGGTATAATTGACATACACTCAGCTACAATTATTAAGCATAAATACAATTTGATAAATTTGACACATGCCTACACCTCACCCCAAGCAGGATAAACATATCCATTATCCCCAAGGATTTCCTCCTGCCTCTTTTGATACCTTCCGGCTCTCCAGCCTCCCACTCCCATTCACAGACTATTATTTTCGAGCATTTTAAACATCCCTGTGGTGTCCTCCAGCTATGCTGAGAGCAATCTGTCCCAAATTAGCTCTCCAGGCACCAATTTCTGTTGTTTTATTAGTGCTCCGTTTACAGTTGTATACGATTTGAGTGGTATGCCCCGAGCCTATCCCCCCTCCCAATAAACAGTTATTTTTAATGTTTTTGTAAGAGGAAATGTTTTTCTGGACTACATATACTTATGTCTCAGAGTACCTCCCACAAAATACTAATTTCAAAGGGAAAAAAGTAACTGAGGAGAGTCCCGACAAACACCACCTTTATCAAGTGATCAAAATTGACATCAACCATAATGGAACAAATGGGAATTGTGTCCACCTAATAGGATGCGGTGAAATGAACAAAGCACCATGTCTAATATTTTTGCCCAAACTACATAAGCTGAATCTAGCCATGACTTAACATCAAAATGAGACACATTTCTACAAAATAAATGGCCCGTGTTCTTCACAAATGTCAGGTTCATGAAAATCAAGGAAATTCAAAGGAAGTTTTTCAGATTGAAGAAGGCTAGAGACTTGAAAATTAAATGCAGTGTGTAATCATGGACTGGATACTTTTGCTATAAAGGGCATCTTTGGGACAACTGCCAAAACTTGGGGTTGTGGATTCGATGGTAGCAATGTAACAGTGTTTGTTAATTTCCTGATTCTGATGGTTGTATTGTGCTGCAGGAAAACACCCTTCTTCGTAGGAAATACATTCTAAAGCTGTGCTGTCCAGTATGGTAGCAACGAAGCCATTGGTACCTATAAGCGCTTCTGGCATGACACATTGAAATAATATTTTGGATAAAAACAATATACTCTTATGGGGCCTTATGGGTTGTTCACTTGGCCTCTTCACCACCGATCTTACTGCCCATCTCCTGTTAGTTGTGAACCTGCTTGACCCTCACACCCAGTTTTGCCTCTTTAGCCTTTCTTAGGAGGGCACTCTTGATTTGATCAGGCCTCTTCCCAGTGTCCTGTTTTAGCCTTGCTTTGAAAGCAGGGTAAAGGCAATTCTCCTTCTGACAAGAAAACTGAGGCTCAGAAAGGTTAAGTAACCTGTACAACACTATGCAGCTGGGATTCAAATCTAGTTCCGTCTAATTCATTCCACTCTGGTATACAAGGAGGTACACCTACATATCCAGCTTTGCCAATCCATTTTCTCTAGTTGTCCTGTTTCCTTCATAGAACTTATCACAATTCATGATATTGTTTGTAGTATACCCCTCTGGAGATGTTAGTTCTGTGAGAGCAGCTATCTTATCTGACGCATTCATAGCTACATCTCAGTGCCTGGAACATAAAAGTGCTTAATAAATATTTATTGAATGAAAAGAAAGGGTACCATTTTACCAATGTGTAAAATCCTTTTTCTTTGATTCTTTTTTAAGACTACAATGCAGTTATTTGTAAAAATTTTTCTTTTTCTTTAGGTACATTAAATGTAAAAGTGAATACTTTACATGATACGTGCAAATGGCCAGTTCTTTAAGAGGAGAAGTACTGAATCTTTATAAAAATGTAAGTAATTATGTTGCCAATTTTATAAATGTTATATGACATAGATTGTTTAGAAATATACAGTTTTTCTTTTTTAAGCTGCTGTATCTTGGACGAGACTATCCAAAAGGAGCAGACTATTTTAAAAGGCGTCTGAAGAGTGTTTTCCTTAAAAACAAAGATGTGAAGGACCCAGAGAAGATCAAAGAACTTATTGAACAGGGCCAATTTGTAATGAAAGAACTAGAAGCATTATACTTCCTTAAGAAATATAGAGCTATGAAACAACGCTATTACTCAGATATCAACAAAACTAACTGATCACCATTACTATAATTTGAAAATCAGTGCCAGCTGTTTATGTATACCAGCTACTACAAAAATAATTCTAAAATGTCAAGATAATACATTTTGTTAAAAATACTTTACTGAACTAAAATAGGTTTCCAATTCTGTTCAAACTGAGAGCTTTACCAGCAACCTTTATGCTCAGTTTTTATACTAAAATAGCAATTTAACTATATGATGCTGCCAACTACCAATTAAAAATTGATGAGCACCCAATTTTGAATGAAAATATAATGTACTTAATTTTTAATAAATTTTTGCCAATTCTTAGCCCATCTCTGCATTTTACTGGAAAAAGAATGCCGTTTAATGCACATTTAAGTAAGCAAAATAATTTCTTGCAAGTTTATTGCCCTTAACTTTTGAAGGAGTTCCTTATTTTTGACCCCATTTGGTACATTAACAGCACAGAGTCAAGGTTCACTGCCAAAGAATGATTTAAGTGCAGTTAGTAGAAATAATAAGTATAGAGTAAGATTACTTCTGAACTCGAAACAGCCTGCCAGCAACTGGCATCACATATATATACCTATCTAATTATTTCCATTATTAATTTTTGCCACTGGCTGCCTTTGGGCCTTAAAACAAATCACCCGTTGTGTATCAGTTACCTTCTTCAATAAAAAGTAATAAATAATGTTATTCTATTCTTTTGTCATAAAGGCAGATTTGTTTTGCATCCACTTCTAAACGAGTTAACATGGCACAGGACCTAAACCTAACGTGGTTTCAAGCAAACACTTAAACCTTTACATAATGTTCACAGCACCTTTCATAAAGAATATATCCAACTTACAAGCTGCAAAAAAAGATTTACTAATATACTATAGTGTCTGTGGCTTATAAACTACCCCATATCAATTATGGGGCTAATGTTTCAAATTTCCATCAAGAAGTACACACTACTGGGAATTCCCTGGCGGCCCAGTGGTTAGGACCTGGCACTTACACTGCTGTGGGCCCAGGTTTGATCCCTGGTCGGGGAACTCAGATCCGCAAGCTATGCGGCACGGCCAAAAAATAAATAAATAAATAATTAAAAATTTAAAAAAAGAGTACATACTATGATAGTCACCGTAACTATTTTTATTACATTACAATAATTAGGAGCAGTACAGTTCATGACAAAAATATTACAAATTTCAGATCACTTCACAGCACATACTCCTATAAACATTTAAAAGTTAATTTTAATTAAAAGAGTGGTCATTTTTAAATTTAATGTTTGATATGACCAACATTCCTAGGTCAGCGCAACCAAACGATGGAAAACAACTGGATCACACTGCATATGTCCCACACACAAAAAAAAAGCACAATGTACAAAATGTGCATGTTTCAGTTTACACTATACAAAAATAGTTAAAATACATTCCAGGTAAACATGTTACATTAAGAAATAGTACTAGTAAGAAATTGGCACTCAAAGGAAAAATGCAAAAGTATTTTCAACATGAAAACACAAGACAGTGGAATTGGAAATTTTTGGATAAAACATTACATAACCCATTTAGCTCTCTATAGGGAAGGGGACCTTCTGTAATTGACACTTCTGTAGGTAATAACTTTGTTTTTCCTAAATTCATCTAAAAATTGCCTGTTATCATCCCAAACAGGCACTTAAAACTATTAAACTAAAACAAGTGTTACTAGTTACAACTCTTTTTAAAGAACTGACGTGAATATATCTTTAGAAAGAAAGAAATTTCATTTTCTGAAGGAATTTACAGCTGTTCGACTTATGCTGTTCAATTTCTCAATGCAGATTTCATGCTACCCAATATCAACACCAAAGTTATTAAATGTAAGTTCAGCTTTAAAATAACTAATGGGTTGTTAAAAATCATTAATACATAATCATCAAGAAATTATTACTTTTTGGCAAATGGAAATGGCAGATAGTTCTTACTGCCTATAAAAAAACCTAAATGTGTATATATTGTTCAGAAAAAATGGATAGAAGAAAAAAAAATCACTGGAATACAAATGAGATGAACTTGTGCAAACTGCAACTTAACATGCCTCACAAAGTTTCTACATATTTTAGGACAAAATTGTGCAATGGTGGCTAAGATTTTGATAACCTATAAAAGTTAGGTTCTAATTCCTATGCAGTGTGACTCAGTTAAAATAGAGCCTAGAATTCCTAATTGGAGATATTCACTCAAATTTTACTACATACTTCTGCTACATTCTTCCATAAACATGTTAATGTCTAAACCTATGTAATTTAGCAGTTTTTTTCAACTTCAAGGATTTTTATCTTTAAGGCTATAATAATTAGATAACATTTGTTATTTCTAGGATTATCTCTCCCCTTTTAAAATATCTACATAAACAAACATTTTATTAAACCATTCAAAATTCACATAATAAAGGATAATTACCACTGCCATAAAAAAATTGCCCAGCTACATCAAAAATTCAAGAGTCCTAAAAATCCCCTCAGTTATACACTGCAATTCCTGAAGTATGGCCATTTCTTTCTCTTGTGTGGAAACAAGAGGAGGTACTATGTAAGTGTAAACACCCTAACTAGATAATGTTCCATAAACCTGTAGTTTAGTATAGCATCTCAGAAATCATATTGATTTTTACATAGACGTTTCCTTTTCTGTGAGTTAGGTCCGGCATCTGTTTATTTTTACCCAGATAAACAACTATTTTAGAATTCAATGTTTAATTTTTAAAGTCTATTTTAATTACTTATACAAAGAGACCATACTACACACAAGGGAATTTTAACATTATCTGACATACAACTTAATTGGTACTATAATTGTCCCAATAGAATCACATCATTCTTTCAAATAAAAAACAATATTCAAATTTTACTCCTTTAAAACAATGAAGTAAACTAATTTAATTTTAAAAAGTAGCTTGATTAAACAGTTACATTGGAATCAGAGCAAAACAATTATTTCAGAACTGGAAGAAACTAAGCTTAGAGACCAAATCACTTCTTTGCAAAACTACAATATGCATTATATCTGGGTCATGTGCCAGATGCCTCACTAAAATACAGACTGCTCTAGAATATAAGCACTACCTAAGGACAGGGATTATGTCCCTTGTCTGAGGATACTCTAATATCCCCAGTGCCTTGTGTAGTGCCTGGCATCTAGAAGGCACTCAAATATTTGTTGAATAAATGAATTCTGCTAAAGAGTAAGATTTATGAATAAATTTTAAAGTTTCTTTCATTGCAAAATTTTAGCTTTTAAAACAATGGAATGTATCATTAGCAGGGCTAGTCGTCGTCGTAGATTACGTAAGGAATTCTTTCAGCACTACCTTTGTTAAATTCTCATTCCACTGGATAGGGATCTGACTCCTCATAGCAGGTATGAAAATTCCTACTTTGTCCCTGATGGACCAGGCAGCAAAGAGATGATGTTCAAAGGATCAAGATTAAATTGCTACAGCCACCACCTGAAAATTAACTCGTAGGTCAAATTCCATTATAGTGTCTGTCGGATTATGCTGAGCCTGAGGAAGTAAGATGTAGGGCATTTTGATGTGACTTGATGGGAAGCCTTCATGGAGATATCCAAAGCAGCAATAAATCTTTGAGGTTAGGGGAATGAGAAGTATTAAAAGAAAAAACATCAAGTCATGGGGCATGTAGAAGGGTAGGCAGGCAAGATGACACTAATATGGGAGAAGTCCTGAAAGCGGAGAATGGATATTCAGAAATAAACTTCACCTCTTGCACAATTTTGCCTAAGACTGGCACTGAAGATGATAACACAGGTAAAAAGTTACAGATTGTGCTGAGACTGACAAATAGGTATATCCTTATGTAAACTGAATGTAAATCACATAGTTATAATGCTAGATACAGCCTTTGAGATGACTTCTTTTAACATGAAGAAATGGATAGTAAGTGATTTGCCTAAAATTGGAGTTATGAAAGACACATAACTAGAAACTAAGCCACCTTCCTCCTTGTCCAGTGATATTTTCACCTCAACACACCATCTCAGTTCAAATATTTTAAAATAAGTTAACATTTTAAATGCATTGAAAGAATCATTTTAACATTAATTTATCTATTTTATAAGCATTAGATATTCTTAATTATGGACCAGACTTGTAAAGTGTTACTTTAGCCAGTGTTAAGAGAACTAGCCAATACTCAAGATTTTGAAACTTTTTCATTTTGTTTAAAAAAAATTAAAATCTTGCCACCCCACCCTAAAACCTCATTTAAAAATAATGTTTTTTTGAAGTTTCGTTTCAACAAAAGTGACGTTCTTGAGTAGGACTACCACATAGTGAGAATGTACCCTGCTGAGCTATCCAAACTCTCTCCCAGTCCCCATTTTTGACCAGCCAAGGCATGACAACATTGGAAGACCATAGGGATGCAGTCCATACTGTGAAACTCTCAGTGAAGCTCAAAGCTCACACAAGGCCTGGCCTTTCCACCTTGGTCTCTGTAACACCTACTAAGCTAACTGGACCAAATAATTTTTAACATCATTACCAGTAGAATTAAAACTACTTTCAAAGACTGAAGTTCAAGAAAAGATTTATGCTAAGAAAGAGCAATCTGACACGGGGAGACTATATTTAATTCCTATGAGAATTTTTGTAATTCAATACATGTTAAATTTTTTTCAATTATTACAAAAGTTTAGTAGCATGTAAATATAGCCCCAAAATGGTTGTTATAATCCTCATTACATTCTGGGTTTGCCTTAACAGGAAAAGCTATTCAGAGTATTATAGGAATTCACCTAATGTAGAAAGTAAATGGCCTTTTAATATTCCATTGCCTTGTATTTTTTTCAATTTTTTCCCTTTTTATAGAAAAAATATAATATTTGGGGGAACGTGACCATTGACAAATAGCAGTGGAAAGAAGGAGAAAACCTTTGTGAACAGTGTACCTTTACATTCATTAAGGGTAACTGAAACTACAGGACATGAAACCTACAAGATGAATCTACAGGAAGCTCATAAATTTGTGTTCCCTCAATGCTTCAGTAAAACCAATCGTGAAATCTCAACTGAAGTTATAATTAGTAATTAATCCATGTATATGATTGATAAAACACAGAACAGGGATGATTTGAAAGGCTCATTAATTTGTTTCACACTCAAGTTCACAATTGGTAAGAAAAATAGGAAGTAATCAACTGCATGCACCAAAAACCCCAGGACAGAAATCTCAGGTGTTCAGTTTCTTTTTCACAGGCATTGCTAGTTCAAAAACCAAAACTCAGGGAATACTGGCACTTAGAGGAAAAAAGTTTCCACTGTCATTTTAAAATAAGCATTCAAGATAAAAGCTAACAGTATGGATGGAGCAGAAAGACAATTAGGTAATGCTAAAACAAATGCTAATAATTTAGTGTAATGTACAAAAATTACCACTTTTACTTAAGTACGCCTTAAGAAAAAAGTACAAATTGTATTTACATAATTATACACTTTGTCTTTGACTTCTTTTTCTTCTTTTTACCTTCTTTGCTCATCTTTTCTTTATGTTTTCGAATTTCTCGAACTAATGTATAGAAGGCATCGTCAACGCCCTGAAACACATAAATATTAAAACGTGAATATATATGATGGTTTGAGGTATACAGATAACAGAAAAGATATATTACTAACGGAAACATTAATATTGAGAAGGAATAAGGATACGTAACATTTCTCTTTAGACAACTGAATATATATCAGACTTCTAGGATTCTTAAATGTCTTCAACGATATTTTGTTAACATTATAGGAACACTGATTTTCACAAAAGGCAATGAAAATCAACGGCACAGAATCTTACGTATGCTTAGTTAACACATTACTTTCCCCCAGAACTTAATTTGCTACTAATTTTTCCATATTGGCACACCTCAGTCACTGAAATCCAAATGTATTTGTGTATATATGTGAGTAAGTATTTATACTTAATTATCCCTGAGTTTCTAGATATTTGATATAAGCCATGCAAGTAAATACTAATTTCATAAATATTCGCTGCATTTGACCTCTGGTTCAATACTTATTTAAATCCATTAGATTTAAAGAACTACCATGAAGTATACAGTATTAGATTATACTTTCAGTTTTCTAAAGGCATTAGTTTCAGTTCATATATTTATGATATGAGAAGGAAATTTAAAGTGACCACAACAGGGGACTTCCCTGGCGGTCCAGTGGTTAAGACTGCGCTTCCACTGCAGGGGACGCGGGTTCAATCCCTGGAAGGGGAACTAAGATTCCACATGCCGTGCGGAGCGGCCAAAAAAAAAAAAAAATTTAAAAACAAGTAAAGAATGTGACCACAACACAAGACACAATACTTTGAAAAATGTAATGCCTCTATTCGTGGAGAAATGAGCTAAATCATTTAAATGGCGGTAGAGTCTGATGATTTGGAGATTTTTTTTAATTCATTATTTTTTTAGTTTATGTTTAGTATATTAAGTATTCAAAATACTTAATATAAAGTCATATTAATATTTGACATATAAAGTCAAATGCTGTGTATCTTCAGAGAAATTTCCATTTGATCATTTTGGCCTACATCTAGCTGTGATCAAAAGCAAGGTATCCAAATCAGTAATGGTTGAAAGTGATTTCAAGTCAGAATAATTTTCAACCTAATCATTCATACAGAACATGAAAAATGGCACTTTGAAACTGGTGGCAGGACAGTAGATTTTAACCCTGCAATCCTGAATTATACAAGATCTATACATAAGTCAATTCTTGTCCTACCCCTATTAAAAAGCAAATTAAATATAAAAGCAAAATAAAGAATTAAAGAAAAAATATGATCCTCTGTGTATTTTAGTATCTGTTTAACTGATTAGTAAACTGTCAACAAAATCCTGATGTTTTCAAACCTAGACACTAGAGGGAGTCTTAGGAACAAATACACAACAAATAAAGTATAAATCAAGCCACTTTAACAATGAAAACTGGCTTTTTACTCAATTTAACCACCTCTGCTGAATATTAATATAAACACATTCATTAAGTTATATTATTTTAAAAATAATTGAAAATTTAACAGCGATATGATTTCTCCTTTATGCATTACTAAGATCTTCTACAATTACTATTTCAAAATAATAACTAAATTAATTCGGGCATTTTCAATCTAGTTACATTTAACTAACTTTCACAACAGATCTAAAGTTTAGAAAAGTATTACCAATATTGTTAAAGAATTAAACACAGAGTGGGAATGAGAGGCTTGCTCACATTTCAACAACAGTAGTGGGATAAAAACCAGCATTATTGATTTGAATACTAGTGAAGAAAAGTCCCCAGTAAAGCCCCCAAACTGCACTCACTGATGTTCCCCACTTTCTGATATCATTACTGATGTAACATACACTTCTGTTTCACACAGAGGATAGAGAAAAAGTGATAAGACAGTTTATCAGCAATACAATCAAGGCTTAATATATATAAGCCTTCATGCTAACCTTCTAAACACATAAAGAGCAAAACACTTCCAATGATATAATAAAGAATAATTATTTTATTATTATAAATAATACCAACCTTGACTAATTTCTAACCATAAACTCTTAGAATGGGATGGATGGAATCTTAAGAGAGGATCTACTCCAACTTCCCTACCCTTCACAAATTCCCTTTGATCACACATCCTTATGTAGTCTACTCCATTTCCACTGTTTTTATAATGAAGAAAAATGTCAATGATACAAAAATGCTGAAGCAGATAAAATGAAAAAACATGAGATGGATATAGAGAAGACACATCCTAAGGTGAAAACAATATATAAGTATTTAGGAGACAATGAAGGCAGAATCTGATAAGATTACCTTCTTCTAAGATTCTGACAAATACTTTTAGTTCATACTGCACTGAACTCTCCTTTATATATAATCTTATTAATAATTTCAATGATTAGTAAAATGTTAAAACTGATCAAAACAGGGCAGTGAATACCCTTTTTACATTCTTATATACACATTTAAAAGACAAAATAGGGTACCAGTAATTATTTTGTTTAAACCCATCATTTTAGGACTAAGAAAAACTAATTTGCATATATTTATCATTGTCAAATTAATTTTGTAAAAATATTTAAAATTTTAAATATTACCAAGTACACTTTTTTCTTATATAAATGCTATTCATGATCACTGAAAAAATAAGGATTTAATTCATCATGCCCAACAATTTCACAGACTACACAGCCACTGAAATATAGTTTGCACAATATGAAAATTTTAAAAAGTATATGCTTTCACCTTTGTTTTAAATAAAAATTAAAGCATAAAACTTATTTTATTCTAAATAGTTCTACTGTAAAAATCATCTAATAGTAAGACAATGGGAGAAAAGAAAACTATCACTTAACTCTGGTCATGGCTACTGTTATTTTAGAAGTTTTACTTTTAAAATTGCATTGCAATGTTAAGTTTTATCACAACTTCTAAATTAAATACTGCTTTATACAATGATACTCAAAAAATATTAAGAGTTTATAAATCTCGGGCTTCCCTGGTGGCGCAGTGGTTGAGAGTCCGCCTGCCGATGCAGGGGACACGGGTTCGTGCCCCGCTCCGGGAGGATCCCACATGCCGCGGAGCGGCTGGGCCCGTGAGCCATGGCCACTGAGCCTGTGCTCCGCAACGGGAGAGGCCACAACAGTGAGAGGCCCGTGTACCGCAAAAAAAAAAAAAAAAAAAGAGTTTATAAATCTCAATAAAAATTAATGCCAATCATTAATTTTGCTTTGTTTCTTCTTCTGAGTTTAGTTCATTAGTATACCACATAATATCTTTTGGAACTTAGTCTACTATTCAGAAGTATATTTTATATTTTGGGGAGATACATTATTTCATACCTTCAACTCATATAGTAAAGAATATCAACCCTTTAGTTTAATCAGCCCCCAAAATGATATCCTACAATTTTATTTCATGTTCTCACAGAACATTATATGTTACAAATAATATGCATCAAAATCTTAAGCTCTGGCATGAACTTTCTGGTACCTATTGAGTGAAATATTTTCTAAACAAGACCAAATTTAATATTGGTTGGTTTAGAAAGGAAGTTGAGAAATTCCACTCAGTAAATCCAACTGGGCAGCTACTGTGTGCCAGGAACCTCGTTAGGTCATGGACATGCAAAGATTAAAAATATACGATTCTGGCTCTCCAAGATTCTCACCATACAGGACAAACACAGAAGCGGTTATTTCAATTTAACATGGTTAAGTGTGTAACAGTTAAGAGCAGTAAACTGGGAATACACAAGAAGTGCATTATGCCCAGCCTAATAGTTTTTAAAGAAAGATTCTTAGAGAACAAGAGATAAGACAGTCATGAAAGTGTGTTAACTAGTAAGACTAGGGGATAAGAACACTGGCATTCCCAACAAGAGCAACAGCCAAGACACAAGGGAAGGTAAGAAATAACATGGTGTTGATTTACATACGGACAAAAGAAGTTTTTAAGAGATAAAGCCAAAGGCTAGGGGGGAAGGAAGGTGTTAAGAGCCTTATATATGCTACGAAACTTGAGATTTTATTCTGTAGGTAACAGGAAGTCAGTAACTAGATTTAAAGATAAGAAAATGACATTTCTTTTAAATCTCTCTCTCTTTGCGCTGTGAATGAAGGCAGCAACAAGTAAACCAAGTAAGAGGTTACAATAGTCCCAGCAAGAAATGATAGGGGCCTGAACTAATGATGTGATAAAAGTTAGAATGTACCATAATAGGAATTTGTGGTTGCCTCCAAATGGGTGTGAAAAAGAGGGATTTAGGAGTCATCCCAACACTCCAGGTTTCTCAGCTGGGTAAAAAAGTGATGTTGATGCCACTAAGTTAAGAGAGCACAGACAGAACAAGTATTTGCTTGTGGAATGTCCAAAAGAAAACACGCACTGTAAGAGTGACCCTTTCCCACCTTCTGGGCCATTCAATTTACTCCTCCTTTATATAGTTCCTCATATTTTTTCTCTCTAGACTCTATGACAAATGCAGAGTAGTCTATAGGCATCAAAACCATCTCAATTATAATGAACACCCATTAGATGAAAAATAAATGTAATTTAAAAAATAAAATGAGAAATATAAATAAATAAATGTATTAATTGTGGAAACAAACTACAAGTTTCTTATTTTTTAATACTTCAAATTAGAATCCCACACCTAGGTAGTTCTAAAGCGGTTGCTACTTTGTTACCTGTGAAAGACATCTGCTTTCTGCAGAAATTAATATGCTGAACTTACCAGATTACATTACAATGCATTTTTTAATTTTCACACAGCCAGGAGTCTTTTCTTCTTTGCTGATTTTTTTCAATCTGTATTGTCGGATCTCTCTCACCAATGTATAAAAAGCATCCTCCACTCTCTGCATTGTAAAACACAACTTCTTTAAAGTCTGTTTCATTGGTAATAGTAATTTATTGGGACAGCCATGTGCAAGAAATTTGGAATTATGAGCTTTACTTGAGAATGTTTTGTTTTAAACAGACATCAGATTGTTTGAATAAAATGGGGGATTCAATTTTAAAATATGGGCTTAAATCATGGTTTGTTCTTTGAAGTCAGTTTTGTTTTGTAATGGGATTAGAATATTTTTTTTAAATTTAAATTAGGAGTTAGGAGAGATTATGAAAAACCTAAGTACATGTATTATTAGTATTAATAATGCAGTCATTTTAGTTTGCTAGTCATGGAATTAATCAAAGCCTAAACTGAAGTTAGATTGAAATTATTTCTTTGACTTAGGGAAAACAAGTGATTTCTGTACTCCAGCTCTGAGTGGGGAGCGAGGAGAAAAATGGTACAAAAGGGACATTTAAACTTTGTTTAAAAAAAAGACTGTTAACATCAGTCTTTCTACGAACCAAATGTGACAAAATGGACTCAGTTCCTACGAAGTTAATAGGTATCAAAAGTATGATATGTAGTTTTAAATTTAATCAGGCACAGAGAATCAGCCATTTAAGTATTAAGTAAACCAACAGCTAAGGCTTAATTTTAGCATGTACACATCCATTGCTTATAATAGTTAAGAAAAAAAAAGGCACTTCAATTCTTGAGGGTATATTAATTTTTATAAATCTCAAGAATATGTTAAGAACTGCTTCAGCTGAACTCAGTAATTTACCTTTAAAGTAAAACTTTAATTTAAAATTCATAAAAAATTGTTTCAGTTAAGCAGTAGGGATTTAAATAATATGTTGATTATATATTAAAGTGTACGTCTCAAGTTACTTATACCAACTTGTGATGTATTTCTACTCAACTAATACAAAAGTCATTATAGCCCAAGAAAATCTGAGTATCTTATATTTTTAATGAAATCAATTTAATCGACTAGCTAGCTAAACCAACTACAAAACAAAAATTCCAACTATTTTTTAAAATCATTAAATGTTGGTACTTTAAATGAGATAGCCACTCTGTACCCAGATATAAAATTTTTAATATTTTATATTTATCAGTAATTCTTGAGATGGTTTGTTTTTACTCATAAGTCCTTAAAAATTACATATTAGAAATTCTCATTATTAAGTTAGATAAATAATTTAAGGCACTAAAATAACTCTAGTAAAGCATGTAAAATATAAAGCATGAGCTGGCATTTAAGATATTTTCACAAATGATTCTCTTTCAATTTGAAAATCAATGCAAGAAATTTAAAACATGTATATATAAATAAAACAAACCAGGTAAAGCTCATATTTTTTAAGAATAAAAACTTTTATTCCTGTTTAAAAAAAGGTTATAAGGTCAATGTAGAAGTACTGAAATATACTATGATGGAGGAAAAAACAGGGTTTTGTCCTCTACTAATTTAGCAGAAGCAAATTTTGATTGTAACTTATTTCTAAAATTAGTTTGAACGTGTCTACTTTTTAAGTGTGCACATCCCCATCACCAATATCAGAATATATGATTTTTGTTTCCAGCAATGCAGAGAGAGAATTGGAAGCCAGTAATTAAAAAGAAGAGATTACTACCCACCACCAAGAATTCAGTATCAGGACCTCGGAGGCTAAGATAATTAACAACACTGAAAGATAGTTATTCCAGAGTGACTTTTTTCATTTCTCATTTTTACTAATAGGAAATTTAAATTAGATTTTAAAGAATCAGTTATTTACCATATTTTCTCAGACTTAATTACTTATTTCTTGATAATATGCTTTAAAGTCATATGGACATGAAGAGAACATTATCGATCCTTGTATATACCTTAAACCACTGGCACAGAACACTGGTTTCATATTCCAAAATTTGTAGGTAATTTTAAAAGATTAAGTACAGCCGAAACAGATGTTTAATACCTACTGTGGCTAGCTGCTAAGGTCTTAACTGGCACGCAATGATTTATTCTTGGGCATACAGCTTGTTGCCACATATACTCATTTTCAGATGTCACTTATTAAACTTTTAAGAACTGAAACAAAAGTGCATGTAAAAACAACAGTGCATGTGTTTATATATGTAAATTTTAAAGTAAGTTTGTAAAGATACATTTGTAACTTTTTTTAAATCAGGAGCTCAGCCATTATCTGAAAATGTACTGTGAGACTATGGAAATAGAGCACTTCAATACGGGAGAAAGAACTGTTAACAGCATCATTCTGTATCCCGGTGCCTATAATGCTTTCACTACGCGATTTAATTTTAAACAAGTACTTGTTCTAGTTGAATAGTTTATTATGTGCAAAAGCTCTTTCAAGGAAATAAATAACACCTCAAATACCCTAACTATAGGCAGATGCAAGAATACTAAATACTAGCCCTTCTTGGGGGAGAGGAATGGGACAAACAAGATGTATTCTAAAAAGCAACTTTGCATCACTGAATTGGAAAGAAACCTTGCCAAACAACAGCCCACCTCAGGAACTACTGAAATGCATCAATACTACTACTTGGGAGGCTATACTATGCATTGGTGCACAGCAGGTGCTCAGTACTTGCTTTGTCTAGTTTTAACTCATAAAAAGCAAAGTTCAAATTACTGATCTTATGTACAGAAACCCAACTATTATTAAACAGAGAAATATGGCACAAAGTTTTTTGTTTGGTTTGCTTTGTTAAAATAATTCGATGATAAGCTTTCTTTAATGGAGGTCTTCTAACAACTAAATTTAAGTATCTAGAAATTAACAACAAAACCCGGAAAATTAATTACTCAACATTTTTAAGTTCATAAAACAAAATTTCACATTATGCTCAAATTGAGACCTCCAGAAAGCAAAAAAGCTGAATCAGGAGTAGCAGATACTCAGAGAATTCTGCTTTTGTCATCTGCTTTACTGAATGATCCCCACTTTTGATTTTAGCAGACTGGAAAACACACAGCTGATTACCACAGTGTCAACGTTTTGGTTTCAACAGCCTTTGCAAACACAGCCATACACTGCCCAAAGAGGCCAGAAAAATATGTTAATTACTAACTGCCCAGATAGATGTGACCTAGGTAGCAGCCTTTATACACTAGGAACACAGGGACCACATACAGCATACTTGCAGAAAATAAAAACTACTTTGGCCTTTCAGATGTGGACTAAAATGATAGTTAAAAATATAATTCAGGGCTTCCCTGGTGGCGTAGTGGTTGAGAGTCTGCCTGCCGATGCAGGGGACGCGGGTTCATGTCCCGGTCCAGGAAGATCCCACATGCCGTGGAGCGGCTGGGCCCGTGAGCCATGGCCGCTGAGCCTGTGCGTCCGCAACGGGAGAGGCCACGACAGTGAGAGGCCCGCGTACCGCCAAAAAAAAAAAAAAAAAAATATATATATATATATATATATATATATATATAAAAAATTCACTGTATTCTAGCCATAAAATGGGCTTTTTAAAATAAGAATGTAATTAAGTTGGTAAAATATATAGCCTACAACCCTTACCTGTAAAAAGACGAGTAAAATTCCTTTCTCTTTCACAGAATAAATTTTACTTTAAAATTCCTAATGTTAGCTTGTAAAATTTAAGTTGAAAGTCTGACCTAACTTCTTATGTCTAGCCAAAGAATACAGTTTCCCCAGAGAATCAATGGTCAGCACACTACAAGTTGGTCAGCACACTACAACCCACAAACCCAATGCAGCCACAGCCTATATTTTTGTACTGCCCACAAGCTGAGTGATTTTCACTTTTTAAAGGGTTGTAAGAAAAAAAAAATGCAACTGATACCACCTGTGGCCCACAAAGCCTAAAATATTTATCATCTGGCCCTTTGCAGAACAAGTTTGCCAGCCCCTGACTTATATCTATGAAAGTTCTAAATGAATGTCTGAATATAATTTTTGTTGTTTGTGTTTTAGGTTCGTGCTCAAGACCAAAACTTAGGGCATGAAGCGAGTAGCTGCTGACAAAATACAACAAGGATATGCATATTCATTTTGTTCAAATAATAAATAAGTAATAGCAGATGAGTAACAAAACACTGCAGAAAATAGGGCTTCACATTTTCACAAAAACTGGAGGTAAATTAAAATTTATGAAAATTCATTTTCTCAGTTACTTGGAATAATTCTTTAAAGTCTTCTAAAAGCATGCAAATGTCAAATTAATTTCAACAGAGAAAGATGAATAAACTTTTGAAAGGCAAATCAACAAGTCCATGTAATAAAGAGAAATCAAGTATCTAGGAAACTAAATATCTAAGTTATAGTTTAGCAACATAAATTACATAACGATATCAATAAAACAGGACATAAATATAAGAAAAGCTGAATGCTAGAAGGTTAAGAAATAAAGTACAAGTATTCCTTTATATTATATCACTGTATATTTTTTCTGGATGATCCATAAAAATGTCTACAAAGCAAATTTAGGTTAATCCATTTGGTATCACACACACTACATCCCCTTCCCTATCCAACACCCCCCAACCGCCCCCCCCAAACCAGTATAAAACCTAAAAATCTATTTAAAAGGAAACTAGGTAGTCTTCTAGATTAGTTATGAATGCTGTGGTATATTAAAGCATTAATGTCAAACACTTAAGAATCAACAGTACTTCTGAGATAGTAACCATACAACAAGGAAAGAAGACAGAGCTATTATTTTAGGCTCTTATCAAATGAGAGTGGAGGGCAACACTGCAGAAATAACAAGACTTCCTCTTACTGTCCTTTATTACCTTTCTACTCCAAATGTGGTCCATGTACCAAAGTCAGCATCACCCGAGAGCTTGTAAAAATGCAGAATCACAGGTTCCAACCTAGACCCTAATTCTAATTCAGAATTAGAATCTGGATTTGAGTAAGAAGCCCAGTTGATTCTTGTGCATATTAAAGTATGAGAAGCACTGCTTTATTTGCAACCCTTTACAACATCAGGCAAAGTCTTAGAGTTTTTCTTTTCTTTGTACAGTGTAAACTAATGTGTCCACTAGTCTAAAATGTATACTTTAAAAGTTACAACTAATACAAGTTAATAAACTGTTAATAGTATAATCTAGGTAGTAGGTTTGCAAATGTTTTCAATAAAATTCCTTCAATTTTATATCTGAAAATGTTTCATACAAAAATGGGAAAAAAAGTTATAATATTATAATCATGTTTTCTGAGTACCTCCCAAGGGAAATCAAGGAGTACGGTCAGAGAAGACCAACAAAGAAGACAAAAACCAAACCTCTTCCCAGTCTTTGGGACCTGGGAATGATATGAATGGAATCTTAATTCCTCCAAAGTGAAGTGAAGTAATGTATACACCAAGTATTTCTTTAACTTATAAATCAGGTTTTAGAATGAGATCATCTGTGTTATGGTCAAAAAATATTCTAATTCAGCTTTTAATCCCAAAGCAAAGACTTAAAACAGAATTCATTGTTTTTTTTCACTGTGCACCAAATTTGTACAACCAGAAAGTGGTAATGTATGATCTTCCACTAGGGAAATAGACATATATACTAGCTGAATGATGGTTTACTTTTAAATTTTTACCCCTTTACAAAATTCAGTGAAAGGTCTAGAAGGTGTTTTTATAAGTTTAACCATGTAATAAGTTGTTCATCACTCTTCTTAACTTCTAGCATTATAAAGTTAAATTCCATGAAATTGGTTTTCTGGGCTCATAGGTACAAATAACCAGACAAGGCCCCAAACAAATGTTCATCTTGTACGGAACATATTAATATTCCATCATAACCTTATATTTTCCTTTTTAGGAATTCATTTTTTCTATATGTTAAACTCTTATTTCATACAAATAAGGCTAAACAATATCAATTATTTTATTTTACCTAGAGAAAAAGTTACTTTTAAAATAGTTTCTGAAACAAAATTCAGGATCAATCTGGTGTTATTTTTTTCTCAGAACACAGTAAATGAATAACTGAGAATTTCTATTTACTTTCTAAATATTCTCTTGCTTTAATAAAAGCTTTCCTGAAAAATATATCCTTTTAAAAAAAATTCTACCTAAGTAAAATTCTTCAAATACAACAAAATTTAATCTAGAAACATATGACATAATACTCTTAAAAGCACTTCAAAAATAGGAAACTCAAAATTTGTTTCCCTGTTCTTTGACTTTATAAATAAAACAGTAAAAAATAAAATTCCCACGTTTCTCGAATCCTGACTATAACATGTGCTGAACTGTTCAACGTAGAAAAAAGCCAAAGCCAAAGATAATACCATGGACACTGGAATAAGAAGTGCTGCCCTCTCATATCCTTAAGAGAACATTTACCAAGTAAATATTGTTATATTTCCTATTTTACTATAATGGAAGAAAATTGATAAATTACATCAACTGATATAAAAGTTATGCTATCAGGTATGTACATTTATTAATATTCATGCCCTCCTGCTCCCAAAATGACATTATTAGAATATATATTAGTAAATAGTGATTAATGATTAAAATCACTTGATATAGTTTGAGAGGACAGATTTGTATTTATTACAATTTTACTTACCTGTCTTGTCTTTGCAGATGTTTCAATAAAAGGAATTCCATAACTTCTTGCTAAGTCCTGAGCCTGTTTTGTGTCTACTGTTCTAGAAGGCAAATCACATTTATTTCCTACTAGAACCATAGGTACATCTTCAGAGTCTTTAACTCTTTTTATTTGTTCTCTGGGGAGGAAAAAAAAAGTTACATCAGAGGAATTAGTAACAAAAATCTTTCAAAAACTATTTATAACTTTGTCTCATAAAATATGGTTAAAAGACTTTTAATGTAATTCCTAGTTCCCATCACACCAAATTTTCCTTTCTCCTCCTCCTAGTTATTTTTCTCTATCCTAAACAGAGAACTTCTATGTCTCTTAAAAGATCAAATACCTAGAAATATAGTAAAACTACAATCTAGTAGGTTCATATGCAGGTAGGTTACAATAAAACAGAAATATTGAAAAATTCTAGGCCAAAAAAGTGCGAGGACTAATTTTTAAAATTATAATCTTAGAAACATATACTATATACGTTGTTAAATGTACACATATAATGTTTTTATAAAAATATGAATTACAACATTAACATAATGCTTTACCTTCATTCTTAAAAAAGAGAGCACCAAGTGGAAAGATTTTGATTTCTATAGGAACATTTTAATAAAAGTAGTCACTTTTATGCAAATTTGTCGAGATTCTTTAAAAACTGTATTGCTCTAATACTTCAATCTTATAACTTCAGAGTTGTGTTTTTTCCTTAATTATCTAAGGCCAACATTTACCTGATTCCAAGAAATTCTACACTATACAGATTTATTTTTAAGGCTATTTGAGTGGTGCCATCTCAATTACCTTTTCACATTTTCGTTCATGGTTTTCATTTTTATGATGGATCTAGCTTAAAGCCTTGTTTCTCAAACAGGCCTACCTTTCAATTCTAGCACTACTACTAGGTGATCTGGAACAAGTTGCTCAACTGCTCTAATCCTTAAGAATTTCACTTGTAAATCAGGGATATTACCTACCTAACAAAAATTATTTTAAAATTTAATTTGTGCAAATTTGTGCATGGCAGTTAGCAAAGACTCAATAAATGGAAGATACAATTACTCCTCAATGTCAACTTATTTTATTCAACTTAAACCCACCTATAATGGTGAATATCTTCAAATGATTTAGTATTATTTATGGCAAATACACAAAGAAAGCCCTCCCCAGTCCTCATGTACTGGTCCCTCATTGCACTGTACTCCTCTTGACCTGCTGTGTCGAGAATATCCAAGAGACAGGTTTCTCCATCAATTACTACTTGTTTTCTGTAGGAATCCTGAGAAGGGAGAAACACAGTCTGGGTTATTACGGTGCACCTTTTACTTCTAAAAAGGTGTTAGACACAACTTAAGAACCAAAAAACAACCCAATTCAAAATTGGACAAAGTACAAGAATAGACAGGTCTCCAAAGAAAATACACAAATGGCCAATAAGCACATGAAAAGATGCTCAACATCATTCAGGAATTGCAAATCAAAACCACAATGAGCTACCACTTCACACCCATTAGGTTGACTTTTTTTTTTTTTTAAAAGGAAAATAACAAGTGCCAGTGAGGGTGCAGAGGAAACTGGATCCAGCAATTCCATTCCTAGGTATATAAACCGAAAGCAGAAACTCAGACACTTGTATGCCAATGGTCAGAGAACCATTATTTATAGTAGCTAAAATGTAGAAGCAACCCAAGTGTTCATTAAACAGATGAATGGATAAACAAAATGGGGGGGGGCACGCACACACGCAGAATATTGTTCAGCCATAAAAAGGAATGAAATTATGATACAGTCCACAACATGGATGAACCTTGAGAACATTAGGCTAAGTGAAATAAGTCTGACACAACAAGACAAACATTCTGTGATTCCACTTATACTGAGATACCTAGAATAGGTAAAGTCACCGAGACAAAAAATAAAATAGCGGTTACCTGGGGCTGAGGAGAGGGGAGTTGGAGAATTGTTGTTTAATGGACACAGAGTTTCAGTTTGGGATGATGAAAAAGTTCTGGAAACAGACAGAGCTAATGGTTGTCCAATATTGTGAACTTACTTAATGCCACTAAACCGTACACTTAAAAATGGCAATGATAGGGCTTCCCTGGTGGCGCAGTGGTTGGGAGTCCGCCTGCCGATGCAGGGGACACGGGTTCGTGCCCCAGTCCGGGAAGATCCCACTTGCCGCGGAGCGGCTGGGCCTGTGAGCCATGGCCACTGAGCCTGCGCGTCCAGAGCCTGTGCTCCGCAACGGGAGAGAACACAACAGTGAGCAACACACACACCCAAAAAAAAAAAAAAAAAAAAAACCAATGATAAATTTTATGTGTATCTTACCACAGTTTAAAAAAAGGTTTTTTTTAAAAAAAGGTGTTACACAGAGATTCAACAATGCAAGTGCATTAATAACAAAAAGACCCAAATTCTCTGTAAAGGAAAATAATTTTTACAAAATGGGACAGCTCTAACAAATCCTATTATTCTGGATGATTTAGGTGGCAAGAAAAATCAAGCAACTTACGAAAGTGTCATGCACCTATTTTATTTATAGTCAAAGGAATACATAAGAGAATGGTCAATACGTAGAATTTTAGTGCCCTTATTTAATCCATTTCTGCAGTCCTGGGAACAATATTTAACAGCCAGATAGATACTATGATAATGCTAAAGAGAATGATTGTTCTGTCTGCAAATTCTGTGAGACCTCTAGTAAAAAGAGAGGGAGTGGTTGAAGGAGAGAGAAAGAGATGGGTATCTTAGAGACCATGCAACTCCAAGATGGTGTAAAGGAAAGAAGGTAGGTGACATAACTGAATCTTGAAATGAAAATCTTATTTTCCTCTGACTTTTGATTAATACTCAGGCCTAAAAGATTTCACATACTGTCTGCCAAAATAGGCTTCAAAAAATAAGGAAAAGGGCTGGTGCAAGGTGAAGTCATGGAGTCAGAGGCAGGGCTAATAATGGGTATAAAGTATAAGCCCAAGGACACTGTTTCTTATTGTTCCACCCTTAGTTCATGAATTACTTCACAGACCAATCTATCATTAAAAAAATGGTCATTGAAAATCATGTTTTTGGAAAAGTGTTTGAAAACTGTTCACAGCAAAAGGAGAATACAAAGATACACATGTAGCATGATCCCAATAAAATATCTCTGCACATCTGTATAAATGTATCTTGTATGTACATATATTAAAAAACTCGTGGTGGTATGTACATCAAAATGTTAACAAAGGGTATGTCTCTGATGGAGATAATTAATCTAAGAAATAATTGAGCTCTTGCTTACCGTTTTTTGTGGTAATAGATATTATTTTAAATGTATTTCTTTCTTTGCCTTTTATTTTAAAAAGTGTGAAAGATTACCATATTAGAATGATCTCACGCTTATCGTTTAAAGTAAACTGTATTTTCCAAATTTTCTATAATAAAAACCAATTATCTCAACAGTCAGAAAAAAAAGGATGGATATTTAATTTTCTAAACAAGAAGCTCTTGACTAAAGATTTGAACATTTGGTTGACATTTTATTTTAGCCTATTCCTTTAATTAACTATTGATCCTTGAAAGAACTCCTGTATATTATAAATTGAAAACCATTGTTTTTGGAGTAGAATGAAAGAGCAGGAATTGAGAGCAAAGTACAGTTTCTTGGAGTCAATCCATTCATTACCCAGGTGTGGCTACGGCACATGTGAAACAGACGAAAGACTTTTCCTCACCTACTGCTGTCACCTCGCATTCTTCACTTACCAGTACTAGCTGAAGTTAACCTTATGGTTAATGGTTTCTTTAATCTTTAAAATTTTCTATCAACAATGAAATTAAAGATTATAGCTTCTGGAGCCACACAAATCTATACCTAAGGTGCGGCTGGAGGACTACGCACATGTGCCCACAGGTATCGCCTCTAAGATGTATACCTCAGTGAACTCCCATTTAAAAAATTTTCAAACACTCTGCATTTCAAAAGTATACACTGTGAAATATTAGTAGTTTCTGCATGCATTTCACAGCATGTTCCCATGATGAACACTCCATCAAAGGGACTGAAAACTGGGAAAGAAGTCCCTATTCATTCCTATTAACTTTTCCCTTCTAAACCCCAAAGATATTGAAAGCAAAATTCTGAGTCACATTCTGTTATTGAAAAAACGTAATCTACAACCTGCCTATAAACAATGAGGAAGAATATGCTGATTACAAATAACAGGTTTAGGTTAAAAATTCAGTATTTCCCAAGTTAATTTTATTTATTTATTTGCATTTCTTTTTTTTTTAAATAAATTTACTTATTTTATTTATTTATTTTTGGCTGTACTGGGTCTCTGTTGCTGTGCACAGGCTTTCTCTAGTTATGGAGAGCAGTGGCTTCTCTTGTTGTGGAGCACGGACTCTAGGCACACGGGCTTCAGTAGCTGCGGCTCACGGGCTCTAGAGCGCAGGCTCAGTAGTTGTGGCGCACGGGCTTAGTTGCTCCATAGCATGTGGGATCTTCCTGGACCAGGGCTCGAACCCATGTCCCCCGCATTGGCAGGCAGATTCTTAACGATTGCGCCACCAGGGAAGCCCCCAATTTTAACTACAGTCATCCTTAGAAGCATAATTAGTCACTGAACTATATAAAAAGGCAGTGCAACTTGATAAAAACTTAAGAACAAAAGTGTTAAATGGTGAGATCTGATCTGAAAAGAAATGACAGGTTTTAAGACAAAGCAGACAGCAAGCACAACAAAAATGATATGTAAGTACTAAAGATTTTGTTTAGCCAGAAGAAAAAAAGTATATGGAAGTAGAAAAAAATGTATGCATCAATGTAGAATCTTTCCCAACATGAGAGCCTAAATAAGGGTACAGCAAACTGTGGCCCACAGGCCAAATCCTGCCCACCTGTTTTTGTATGGTCTATGAGCCAAGAACAGTTTTTAAATGGTTGTTTAAAAAACAGCAACAACAAAGATTATGTGACGAAGACCCAATTGACCCTTTACATTTTGCCAACCCCTGCTCTAAGCTAATACCTTACCACAAATCTAAAGTACTCTCAACACATATTATTCCTTTTATATTTAAAAAAAAATCATCACTGAGAAAGTACAGGTTATCAAAGCCTAACCAGTTTAAAACCACATAAATTCCACAATGAAACTAGTTAAAGACAGCAAGAAAAGAATCAAGACTTTACATTTTTAATTAGTATTATTTCCAGCCTTTCAAACAGAATAAACTTTTAGATCAGATACATAGGTTACTAACATCCTTTGGAAACTAGGATAAAAGAAAGCCACTTAAAAACTAACTCAACATAATAAAATATTAAATGAAGGAAAGTTATTCCATAGATTTCCCCTTACTCCCAACTAAAGTACTATTTTAATTTACTGAAGTAGTAGGAAAAAAAAAAAAAAAAAAAACTTTTCTAGGGCTTCCCTGGTGGCGCAGTGGTTGAGAGTCCGCCTGCCGAAGCAGGGAACACGGGTTTGTGCCCCTGTCCGGGAAGATCCCACATGCCGCGGAGCCACGGCCGCTGAGCCTGTGCATCCGGAGCCTGTGCTCCGCAACGGGAGAGGCCACAGCAGTGAGAGGCCCACGTACCGCAAAAAAAAAAAACTTTTCTAAATGAAATACACTATGCTGGCAAAAGTTAAACATAGAAGTCAAGCATTTCTGGTGATACAGTAACAGGTACAATCCTTTTGGAAAGCAGGTACATTACTTATCAAGAGCCATACCAACGTTCATAGCCTTTGACACAGTAATGCCACTTCTGGTAAGAGATGCTAAGAAACTATGGTTTATTTTTTTAAAACGATAGCTAAAATGGAGATATACTTAACATGGCATCCTAAATCATCATACCATAAAAAAAAATTACATAGGCACTTAATACCCACAATCTTATGCCGTTTATCTATTTTCAAAACATACTCCAAATCCAAGCACTCACCACCATCACCCTAGTCCAATGTGACTGTCTCATGCAATCTCCTGCAACTGCTTCCTAGTCTGTTCTCCACATAGCAGCTGGTGATCCTATTATAATTTGTAACTACGTATTTATGTGTAATTGTTCAAGTCTAGACCCCCTACTTGGCTTTAAACTCCATGATGGTAGGGCTCACATCTGTTTTGCTCACCACTATGCACCCTGTGTGTCAGTCTTAAACACAGCAGGTAATCAGTACTGTCTGTTGAAGAAATGAATAAACCCATTCAACGTAAATATATGCAGACACTGTAAAAATAAACACAAGTGTAAGATATTATAAATTATATTAA